TCTCCAGTTGTCCCACCGTGATTCAGGTATCACAAGGTGGTGCTCTTGTACCTATGGCAAATTACTCAGTGGACAACACTTGAGGCTCTCACTGAACCTTGTGCTACATATGACAAGTTGAACTAAACAGCACGGCAGTGGTTGCAGGCTTGCTATACCAGAAGAGATGCGTGGTGAGAACAGCGTCTCCAGGGATGGGTATCTTGTGCCGCCCTATGTAAGAAAAGATTAATGCTGCATGCTCACAGGATCGGTATGTGTTGCGATACTGTGCGTGCGATCTCTTCTTGGTGCCTCATCAAAAGACATTCTCTTGAGCAGACATCATAGAATCTGGGCTGAATGCTTCTTTCGTGTTTGTAATTCTCCAGTGGGAAGAGAATTAGACCCAGAAAATCTGTTTCGTAGACTAAGGATCTAGCTGTCTCTTTCCATACTCTTTTAAAGCTGAGCCTACCACTCTTATCTCCAAAGTGAAATATTTTGGCCTCATCTCATACTGGTGCGATACATCCCATTTAAATCAGAGTATTCGTCTTTTTTACTCAAGCTGGACTCTGCTTTTTACTTTCTGCATTTCTCATGTATCCATTGTCTTTTCTCCAAGGCTTCTTGGTTGACACATTAAAGAATTAGTGATATCTCAAAGATATCAAATCTTTGTTATTGTACATACATCTAATACCGGGACTATAGAAATCCTACAAAGACATCTCAGAGAGCAAGAGAGGGATAGTACATGGGAAGCAGCTCGGCACTATGTTTAAAGATGATAAAACATCTACATTTTCTACAAATTTAGCAGGTGGCTTTTAGTATAATGAGGCTGCAGGAGGCTATTTCAGGAGACTGGAGCTTGCAGCAGTCTTGCAGTTAATAAGGGCAACTGGATTACCAAGTAGACTACTGTGGTTACTGCCCGTTGTATACCTAAGTGAGAACTGAATATCTCTCACTCCTCATTTCTCTGATCATCCCCTTTTTATTTGTGCACCCTTTTAATATAAGTAATAGGCTGTGTCTGATAGACGTTACTCTGTACATGAGATAACACATTACGAAGAGCTCTGAATTGTACTGTAATAAGGTCAGTGGTCTACAGTTTTAAGCTTCATACTGGACAACCCATTGGGTTTTTTTGATACTTTTTAAAAATTTTCTCTTCATATTTAGTGATCATCTTAGTGCTCTGTACTTTGTAACAAATTCTGCATGCCCAACTGTTAGCCATTTCTTGAATATTTCAGTATCACCTCAGTGAAGTGAGGCACACATTGGAATGATGATGTTGTCGGCACTGCATACACCAGTAATTCATACATATTCAAATAAAAATAGTACTAGCTTGTACAAGCTAGGTACAAAGTCTTGCATGGTAAAAGATGACTGCAGTAGCCATTGCTGACAACATTGCTTCAAAGAAATACAGAGGAAGTTTGAGCTTACTGCTGCATTCTGGCAAATAAAACGGAAATACGTTAGGAACAAAGCAGCTTTTCTCTCTCACTCAATAGCATTGCTTATTCTTATGACCACCCCAGTCTGATTGTAACACCAGTGTGACAATGTGCACTGTCTTCTCTTGAAATGCTTTCTCTAGCTGAAGGAAAAAATTGCTTGCATGTTCTGTGCTCTTATGCTGTGAGGACACTGGAAAGCGTTGTGCACAGTATGTTCCCTACTTGCTAGGAAAGGCGAAGTTAACGATGATGCCATTTCTATTTTACCATCTATTGGATTCCATAAAGACCACTTTATTGACAAAAGCAGCCTGCAGTAATATTATTGAAAATACAACTGGAACAAAATTTGAGTGTATATTGGTAATGAAGTTCTTCAACATGATTGTAAAGTTCAAATAATGTATCATGGATTTTAATGCATTCTGACTCACACTTTTGCGTTCCAGGTTAAGGTTATACTTCATGAAAAAAAACTACAGCATTCAAGCATGTACACATGTACAAGTAGTACACTCAAATGACTTTGACTGTCCCTGAATGTGTAGTATCAAGGAGATCCACCTCAGGGTCCATCATTAGCTTCTCTATGTAATTTCATCTTATTCCTCTTCTTGAATGCCAGTCCTTCAAATTCACCAAGGACCCCTACAATCAAGCCCATCTCTCCCCTTTCCACATGACACATCAGACCTTCAGCCACCGTCACGAAACACCTGAATCTCCATATTATGTTCTCGTCATTGATGTTCAGACTCCTGCATGGGTGTCACTGAGGATGTGATCTGAAGATAAGGACACGGCACATTTATAAAGATATAAAAGTCTCTGTAGATGCTTTTAGAGTCCCTCTTCTACAATATTGTATGGACTGAAAGCTAAAGCACCAAGTTCACTCTTCTGGGAAATAGATCTCTTCTGGTTAAATTTGGGGGGGTTTAATTTTCATCTCAGTTTTTTTCGTTTTGTTGGCAGCATAGAGTTTCAGAGGATTTTAAACTGTTCAAATTATTAGCCAGCTTACGTATCTTTTTAAACTTTTATTTTCTGCTCATCCATAAGAGATAACAAGCAACAAGTTACAGAGATAACAAGCAACAAGTTACAGAGATAACAAGCCTCCGTAACTCTAGTTGAAGTCTGTGGTTAGCACTGCAGGTTCAATATAGAAAATTGGCTCTAAAATGACTCACACAAAACTTCACAATATGCAAATTGGAGGTGAAGTGAAAAGCTGATACTCACTTTTTGC